CACCTATGGGTAATCCCAGCCTTGGATCACACATAATCCCAGGGGATCATGAGTTAACACAAACTCTAGAAGTCCTCACCCCATGACTGCATGAGGCTTTGGGGGGACAACTAGACACAAACCATAACACCAACATAGCCTTGAACTTGTGACCCTCCTGCCTGAGCCTCCTCACGTCTGAAATCTCTTTTTGTTTTGTTAGTTGTGCTATTGTGGCTGGATAAATATTCTGAGTTGATTCAAAACATTTATCTTTTGTGGTCATTTTGGCTTTGTGGAAGAGCCAGAGGTCACATGGTCCTGGTCCAATGAATGAATGAATGAGGACACAGTGCGATGTTCTCAGGAGTCTGTCTTTCTGTTGAACGGTACTTGGCAGGTGCATTTATCAAGTTTTCAATTGCATAGCTTAAAGACATTCAAGAGGACTTGCAGAACTGCTTCAGAAGGGGCAAGGATGATGGGATACAAGTTTAAAGAACCATTTTGAGGGGGAATTGACGGTAATATGTGTTTTACAGTAATATTTCTTTTTTTTTTTTCTTTCAGACAGCATCTTCCTATATAGTTCAGGCACATCTTGAACTCACTATGCAGCACAGGCTGGCCTCAGGCTTGTGGTCCTCCTGTTTCAGTCACCAGAGTGCTGGACTTAAAGGCATGCATCACCACACCTGGTTGGAATTTTTTTTTTTTTATTTAAACAGACCAGATTTTACAGCATAATTTTTGATTAGCATCTTACAGAGTATATGACTGTCTTAGTAGAAAATATGGAATCTATATATGTTTAAAAAATTCATTGGATCTAATGAATAAGTTTAGCATAATTATAAAATACAAGTAGCAATATAATTTTGATTTCTATATAACTAACAAACTAGAAATAGATAAGACTTGAATTGCAAATTGGTACTTAGAAATGCTATTTATAATAGAACATAAAATACATAGGAATCAATCTCACTAAAATATATGTAATCTTTACATGTAATATTGCTTATTATTATCACAATATTAATTCTGCCCAAATTCACCTACAATTTAAACATAATACCACTCAATTCCAGCAGTACTGTTTTGAAGTCAACAAGTTGGCTATAAAATTTGTGTGGAAAATAAAAAACCCTAGGGTAGGAAAACCAGCAAAAGTTAATTTGAGCGGGGTGTGGTGGTACATTCCTGTAACCCCAGCACTTGAGGCTGAGGCAGGAGGATCACAAGTTGGAGCCTGAACTGCATCACAAGGCCCATGCCAGTCTGGACAACAATAGCAAGATGTTGTTTCAAAGAACCACAAAATTTAGTAATTAGGAACTCACAGTCCCTACTTTCAAGACTTTCTACAGCATTATCCATCAAGTTAAGTGTGGTGTTGGCAAAAAGACACAATGATCAGCAGACCTATTAGAACCCAGGACAGGCCTGGTGACATATGCCTTTGCGACAGAACTGCTAAATGCAGTGTCAAACACAGTTCAACAAATGACACTGAAATACCCTTTCCAGTTGGCACTGAAATAATCGGATACGCATGCACAAAATAATAACAAAAAGACAGGAAAAAGAGTATTTGTACTATTTCTTGACATACAAGTTTTATTCCAATAGCTCATACAACTAAATGTAAAATATAAAACTAGAAAATTTCTAGAAGAAAATCTTTGTTGGAGTTTCCAAAGACTTATTTACTAAAACACAGAAAATCAGTACCTATAAAAGGAAAAAAAAAAGTAATAAATTAAACTTCAATGAAGTTTCTTTCATTCAAAAGATATAGTTGGAAAGTAATAGTATAAAATATTTACAAAACACATATCTGAAAAACAGCTGATAAGTAGAATATATGAAAAAAATCAAAACTCAGTAAGAAAACATGAAACTTAATTTTAGAAATAAAGGTTTAGATAAATGACCCCAACATAGACATAAAGATAGTAAATAAACAAATAAAAATATACCCAATCATTAGTCATCCCAGAAATATAAGTTAAAATAACAATGAGATACTACTACCTGTCTATATATTAGATCTAAAACGAATAAACTGATGGTACCATAGGCTGGTGTAGAGTAACTGAATGGCTTATGTTTTGCTGATGGACATGAAAAGTGGCAAAGGTAATTTAGAAAACAAGTTTGGCAATTCCACTCCTAAAGAGTCACTCAGGAATTACCAAGTCATATTTATGCAAATGTATGTATGCAAAAATTAACAGCTCAAATCTGGACATAGCCCAAATGTCTATGGAACTGCAAAAGAACAAATAAATTATGGCATGTTTACAAAACGGAATACTATCAGAAGTAAAAAGGGACAAACTACTGATATACGAAGTCACTTGGATGCATGTCACTTGAATTACGCTAAGTGAAAGAAGCCAGCCTCTAAAGACCAGGCCCTATTCTAAGATCTTCTGTGACTCCCCTGATGAGATGCTCTGGGAAAGGCAAAACTACATGGAGAGGGCAGGTATATCAATCCTTGTTTGTACACAGTGTAGAATTACCCCTGAAGTTTTAAATATGTAAGTAGCAGAATCTGCCTGTAATTACGTTTGAGGGTTGGGAAGATGGTAAAGAATTTACATAAGACTAAGAAATTTATACATTTTCTTTATATGGTTATCTCATGAGTATAGCATATTATGCTTGCTAATCTTTAAACTACTAAAATTTATTTTCATTAATGGGGGCTGGAAGTTCTTTATTTTCAGACAGATTCTTGCTACGTAGTATAGGATGACCTCAAACTCACACTGACCCTGTCCTGTAGCCCCTCCCCACCCCCCGTGCAGGGAACAAAGGCACGCCCTGCAATAACATAACTGTATTGTGTACTCACGGATGGACGTCAGCTTACTTTGGTGCAGTGTTAGCACTTTGCTCATTCTTTTCATTTGACATGAACTCGGGTCTATGGTACTAGCTGGCACAAGGGACTGAAGAAGTAGTGACTCACTTCTATTAAACAGAGGGGAAAGACACTCTGAGCTGTGTGCACAGGGCCCAGGGCCCCCACAGACAGATGATACTTACACTCTCAGGAGGCAGAACCACCCCATCCCTCCCAACCTCACTCACCCAGCACATCAGACTCCTGCTTCTGACTCAACTGTGTCCAAATGAAAACTTACCTTTCCAAATAGTATCTGGTATTCTAGGAAGGAAAAGAAAAAAAAGACATGTGGTTACTTCTGGGTATTAAAGCTGCATATTTTGTAGGTCATGCACATGGAAGTGTCCTTTCTTGCCATGATGAACTTGATTTCCATGTAACTTCTTTAGTCACACAGAACTAATTCTGAGAAATCAAATTTTACCACAGTAAGAAAAAGCCAGAAAAAGGCTTAAAATAATCCTGATGTATTCCTAAGGGGAACACTGCTTCAAATGGCCCTCATTTATTGGCTATCTGTACCGAGAGTGCAAAGACTTGAGCAAAGGAAGGGGCCTCTGGTAGGAGGTGCCGGAGCCAGGGCAGGAGCTGAGTAGGATGGGCCGCAGACCGCTCCGCCTCTGAGTAAACCTGGCCTAGAACTGCTCTTTCTTACAGCTTTGCCTATGGAGGTTTTTCAACAATTATTTTATTCATTTAAGCAGTGTAAATGTATTTATTTTTAATTTTTACCTGTTATGAATCTTCAATTGTAATTAATTTTTAAATGTAACTATTTGCCATATCTTATGATAAGTTTAGTGATCAACTGTTTATAGTTATTTGTTTCAAGGAAAAGCTAAATCTTTATCAGCCTCATTCACTGCACTTGGCACCTCATGACTTCTGGGTCTTCAAAGTCAAAATGACCACGAGAGGGGAACATTTTAAATTACGTACAGGCCATAGAGGCACCCTTAACAGCGTGACTACAGACAGGAGACAAGACTTCCGGAAGTGCTGTAGGAAGTGACAAGAACAATGGTATGAGTGTTTTTTGGGTTTTTTTTTCTCTTTTTTTAGAGAATAAAAAAAAAAAGATAGAAATGACACAGAGAAAAAAAAAAAGAAATGATACAGAATTAAAAAGAAAAAGATAGGAATTCAACAATGGTTGTTGCATTGCATATTTTGTCTTCAATGTAGTTGTTCAGATTATAAGACATAAATATTTAAAATTGGTTAAAAAATTAAGCATTAACTGTTCCTTTCAATAAGTCAATAGAAATTAGCAGTACAATTATCTTAGCTAGCGTGTGTGTGTGTGTGTGTGTGTGTGTGTGTGTCCCTCTTCCTTTTCTCCTTTTCCTCAGCCCATTTGTTCTTTCTTTATTTTATTT